CTTGTAAAATATGGCAACCCTAACACCATGCTCACATGTTGGTGCCCATCAGAGGAAACTGGGAGGCATGAACAGCTTCACAGTCACTCACTTTGGTTACCAGTTAGTAAGTGAGGAGGTTGGGTGGAGATAGATATATATCTATCTTTATCTATATCTCCAACTCTTTATCTATAATGATTTTGTGTCCCCTCAGGATCCCATTGGCCAAGAATAGACAGGTGCTTAATTCAGACTTGGACTGAAAACAGCTCAGAACTGAAAATCCGTCAGCCGGGGTTCAAGTCCTGCTCTTCTGCTCACAGGCTGAGCAGCCCCAGGCACTCAGGCTCAATTTCCTAGCCTGTAAAATGGGTATTCAACTCTATAAACATTTATGGAGCCCTAACTTTGTTTAAGCCCCTGCCCTGAAGGTCGAGAGGACACAGAAATGAATCTCTGCCTTTGAGGAGTCAATCACAGGTCAAGTACAATGATACTAGTGATCAGTCACAGGGAGCTCTGCCAGCTGCTTTGTGTGTGACCATCAGCCTGGAGAACAATCCCCAAAGCAACTCAGGAAGAAAGTGCATTCAGCCCCACTTTTCACAAGAGAACACGGAGGCTCAAGGAGGCTGAGCGACTGGCCTACAATCACAGAAGAGTCAAAGCTGGGGTCACAGTGACCCCCACGCATATGGCCATCAGAGCGCTGGACAACTTGTCAGGCACATGGTGGAAGTGCATGAGGGGAAGGCAGACTGGTCTAGGCCCACGTGTGGGGAGGACCACTGGGCCTTGAGCCAAAGCTCCATCTGAGGGGATGGCAAGCCAAGGGGCTCAGGACCCAGGGTGAGGGGCAGGGGTCCATAGGCTGTGTACAGAGCTGCCCTGTGGAGAGGAAGGTGAAGTCCACCCCCAGAGGAATGCGGGCAGGCATGAGCCACATGGCTGGCTTCATGCCTCACATGCACACTGGCACTGGTGGAACCAGAATTCATGCTGCGGGAGGCTCAGGCCACCAGGCACCCTGCTCCTAACTCCACCTGGGCCTCCCCTCCAGGGCACTCAGAGGGTCTCTGAACTCTCTGAAGCCCCTGCCCCCAGCTCCTGCTGGAGGGGTGGGACCTGACCAGGCTGGTAGGAGACCACTGCATCCATTTATTCCATGATGTGCCTGGATGCTGGCAGATGGAGACAAGTATGGCTCTGCCTCCCACATCAGGGCTCACAGGCACTGTGTGAGCGGAACAGACAGAATAGAGCTTAAAGATATTATGGTGGAGGTCTGCATGGGGCTCAAGGGGTAAAAAAGGGAGGGAGTAGTCAGTTCTAGCTGAAAACAACTATTGTTCACTGAGCACTTGTATTACTTCATTTCACTCTCACCAAAACACCATGGGGTAGCTGTTATTATTGTCCCATTTTACAGACAGGAAAACTGAGGCATAGAGTCCAATTAACTTGCCTGGCTGGGGTCATACAGCTAGACACTGGCAGCAAAGTCTGAGCACAGGTGATGCGTCAGCCAGACCTAACCAATGCAGAACTCGCCAGATGAGGCCAAGGCTTGGAGGAGTGGGCCTTTTTTTTTTTTAAAGATGACCGGTAAGTGGATCTTAACCCTTGACTTGGTCTTGTCAGCACCACACTCTCCCAAGTGAGCCAACCAGCCGTCCCTATATGGGATCCGAACCCGTGGGCTTGGTGTTACCAGCACCACATTCTCCCAAGTGAGCCATGTGCCAGCCCTGGAGGAGTGGTTCAGGTGTGCAGTGCTCTGTGGGCCTCGAGACGGAGACATGACACCAGCCTCATCCCCAAGTCCTCATGAGCCCTGCTAAGGTGTCTGGATCCCCCTGGACCAGCTAGGGGTCTGCACTGTAAACAGCAGAAAACACTGGCTAATTTGAGCGGAAAAGGAGTTTATTGGGAGAATACTGGGGAGTCACAGAAGTCACAGGAAGAACAGACTCAAAAGGGCAGGAACTGTGGGAGACCAGCCGCAACAGGAGCATTTTTCACACTGAATGATGGTGACCCTTAGGGCAAGACTGCCAGTGGTCACATGCTGAATCCTCAGGCATTCCTTTCCACGTACTTGAGCTCCAGGTGATACAGGAGCATTTTTCACACTGAATGATGGTGACCCTTAGGGCAAGTCTGCCAGTGGTCACATGCTGAATCCTCAGGCATTCCTTTCCACGTACTTGAGCTCCAGGTGAAGAATCTGATTGGCTGAGATCAGGCCAGATGCACATGTCCTGGTTGCGGGGATCAGGGAGAGCAAGGATCTGGGCTCTTCGCTGCCACTGAGGAAGTGGGGTCCTGCAGATGGCCCACTTGCAGGAGGCTGAGATGCTGGGCAGCCAACATGCCATAACCATATGGACAAGGCAAGGCAACAAAGGTTTCTTTTTTTAGGGGTGGGGGGTGGCTGGCCAGTACAGGGAGCTGAACCCTTGACCTCAGCGTTACAAGGCTTTGCTCTAACCAACTGAACTAACCAGCCAGCCCTTATTTTTTAATTGTGATAAAATACACAGCATAAAATTTACCATTTTAACAACTTTAAGTGTACAGCTCAGTGGCATTAAGTACATTTACATTGTTGTACAACCATCACCACCACCCATCTCCAGAACTATTTTATCTTCCCCAACTGAAACTGCCCCCGTTAAACACTAGCTCCCCATTCCCCCTCCCCAGCCCCTGACACCCACCATTCTACTTTCTGATCCTATGGATTGACTACTCTAGACAGCTCATGTAAACGGAGTTGTAGTTTTTGTCCTCTGTTACTTAGCGTAATGCCCTTGAAGTTCATCCATGTTGCAGTGTGTATCAGAACTTCATTCCTTTTTAAGGCTGAATATTCTTCCTTTGTATGGATATACCACATTTTATCCATTCATCTGTCAATGGACATTTGTATCGTTCCCACCTTTTGGCTCTTGTTGAATGCTATGAACATGTGCGTACAAGTATGTTTCAATCCTTGCTTTCAATTCTTTTGGGTCTTACACCCAGAAGTGGAATTATACTGAAAGGTTTTAAGCAGAGGAGATCTTAAGATTGAATTTTGTGTCTTAGGAAACTCATTCTGGCTGCAGTGTGGACAGTTTGGAGACACTAGGAGGCTCCTGCAATTGTCCAGGGGCTGTGGGCATGGAGGCATGTTGAGGAGGTTGGGGCTAGCCGGATAGGGGAAGTGAGGGAGAGAACAGAGCTGCAGATGACCCCCAGGCTCCTGGCTTGTAGTGACACCCATGGCACAGAGAGCACAGGAGTAGGCAAGCTGTTGGGTGAGCTGAGTTTGAGAAGGCTTCTGACTTGAGATGCCCAGAAAGAAGTTCTGGATTCTAGTTTGAAGGTCAGAACAAAGGTATGAGTTGAAGAGAAAGACTGATGAGTCTTGATCAAGGAGGCAGCCCAGAGAACTGTGGTCACCCAGATGGAGGAAGCAGGTTGAAAAGAAGGTCCAGGACTGAACCCGAGTGTCCTGATATTTCAGGGGAAGCCAACAAAGAAAAGCCAGCAATGCCATGGCTCCAAGGGTGCCCCAGGCTGCAGAGGCCTGAGTCTGTAGCATTGGGCATTAGGAGGTCACTGGTTACCTGTTAGAGCAATAAATGAAGTGAAGAGGGCACTGGGAATAAATCTGAAGGACACAGACAGCAACTCGAGAAGGTTCTTTCAAGGAGCTTAACCTCAAAAGGTGGGAGTAATAGTAGCAGTTGACAATAGATACTGGTCAGGACTTCTTTGGGTTGCTGTTAATAAAATAAATATAAGCCATTTAGGACTTGGAGAAAAAGAGGAGCAGGTCTCAGACAATAAAACTGGACCAAAAGCCAAAGTGGAAAGGGTGGCCTTGAAAAGTGGGGACCTGTCTCCTCTGGGTGGGGGAAAGAGGCCAAAGGTCTGGGGAGAAGGAATGGCCTTGATTTTTTCAGAGGACTAGGACACAAGGACAAGTGCAGAGGATAACAAGGAAGGGAGGCTGGCTGGTGCCACCTGTGAGTGTCCCTGGACAGGCACCCAGGCTGGCCACTGAGTGAGGAACACTGGTGCCTTCAAAGGAGACTGAAAGGGAAGGAGGAACAAGGGCTGGACCTGAGCAGGTGTTCGGTTCCCAGGCATCTCCCCTGGGTGCTGGGGGAGATCTTAGCAGCCTCACCTGCCCTGGGACAGGAGGGGGTGACCAGACAGAAAAAACAGACATAGGGTGGGGGAACAACTTATCACAGGGCTATAGAGGGAGGCCAGGCTGGCAGCTTGTGTACAAAGGGACAACCCTGGTGACACACCCAAATAAGGCTTGGCATCCTGGGCTTCACACTTGGTTCTGCCTTTGACCCAATGTAACGAGCAGTCTATAAACAGGCAGAAACTCTTCAATCAGGTTTTTTTATTTAAAAATTAAATCCCAATTTTTCCTTAAACTGCATGCTGTTAGTTCCTCAGGGACAGAGAAAGTTTGCAGTGATAATATCAACTCAACATGGTCTAGCTACTCCTGATTCTGCAGGATTAAGGCATGTCCCAAGAGTTCAGGTGTGGTCCAGCTCAGGGACATCTGGACTGACCCTGGCAAGGGGGCTTGCTTTCAGGTCTGACAAAGCTTGAAGTGTTGAACAAATAAATAGCCTGGGACTCCCAGGACTTGCAAAGGGTGTCATTAGTGCCCACCAGGCCTGCACTGCTGCATTCACATACCGAGCCACCCGCTCATCTTCCCAGGATCTGTTACCCACTGCCCCTCCCCCCACTCCTCTCAGATTCTACTTCCCTGAATTTGTAACATCAAAACTTGCCACAGCCTGGGGTTTTGGCGGGAGTTGTGGTGGGCAGGGCAGGCTTTGAAACCACACCTTTTACCAGTATTGAGAAGAGAGAAAGGTGGGGAAAATTCCCTAGAGACAATGAGGTGCATCCCGTTTCAACTCCTAACACCTACCTCAGGCAGTGCTCTCATGTGAGAGGGTAACAGAGAAAAAATCAAAATCGCTGTCAACCCCTGCCACTTTATGGTATATGAGGAAAACTTTCTAGAAATTTACAAGTGTAGCTGCAAAATGCTAGTAGGATTGGGACCTTTCAACCCATAATTTTTTCTTCTCTGTGTACCTTATTTTGTAAGAAATAGGGTGGCTGACAAGAGGGGGCACCTCCTACTCCTGCGGCAGAGTGGTAAGGCCCCACCCTGGGCCCTGTGTAGGTGGCCAGCCCAGAGGCCATGATTCTCAGGTTCCATGTCATCTGGAGTCCCCGGCACTGGCGGCCATACTCAGAAATGCACCCTCTTTGCCCCGGCAGCCAGAGCTCCATCAACCTGGCTTTTAACAAACATCTCAACAGCAGAACACAGAACTATAAAACACAACTTCTATGTAGTAAATGCGTAGGATCTGAGATCCAACTAAGACTTCTGTCCCTCCTTCAAAATTTAGTTAGGCTCTACAGGCTGAATGTTCAGCTTTTCCCTCAAAGATAGGACTGTCCCCCAGCTGATGAATTCTCTCCTGGACCATCTACAAAATCTAAGAGGAAACCCACAGAACCTGAAGCCTCTTTACATAGATGGGCTCGTGGCTGGGAACCAAGACACCAACAGAAGTCAACTCAGGAGAGCCTGAGGTTGGCTACACCCTGAGGGGTCTGTTCCTGTTGGGGCTGGTTCAGAGCAGCTGAACTTCCCAAGAGCAGAGGGGCTCTCTCACCTCCAGTCCCCAGCCCTTTAATTCTTCTGGCTGGGCCAGTGATTCTATTTCCCAGTACATGGCCCAGATGGAAGCTGGCTGCGGTACTGTGGGGAGGTAGGAAGAAGAGGACTACAGATAGGACACCAGTGTATGGCCAGGTCAGGTGGTTCCCATTTCCTGAAACTGAGATTGCTGCCGCCACCGCACAAGCTCTGAGGACAGGCCGCACATGCAGCAACAGCACACGCACAGGTAACAAGGCCAGGAGAGGGGACCTAAGTATCTCCTCCATAGAGAGAGAGAGCTATGTACAGGGAGAAGAGGAGAGTCTGGCCAGGAGCACCCCCACTTCATCTCATTCAATCAGGAGATCAAATTGCTCAGCAGCTTCAAACTCGGCATTCATGGCCGCAGCCCACTCATCCAGCTCCGATTTCTGGGGGAAGAGAAATGGGAGGAAGGTGAGTGGGGAGGCGGACACATTGGCCAGGACATCTCACCCACACCCTGCAGGTGCTGCCTTTCCCCCAAAAGAGCCAGAGCTGAGCCTCAGCCCTGCACATTTCCCAGTGTCTATGGCGTGATGGCAGAGAAAAGTCCCTGCCCCTCACTCACCAGGATCGGGACATCTCACCCACACCCTGCAGGTGCTGCCTTTCCCCCAAAAGAGCCAGAGCTGAGCCTCAGCCCTGCGCATTTCCCAGTGTCTATGGCGTGATGGCAGAGAAAAGTCCCTGCCCCTCACTCACCAGGATNCATTTCCCAGTGTCTATGGCGTGATGGCAGAGAAAAGTCCCTGCCCCTCACTCACCAGGATCTCCGGGACCTTCTTCTTCTTTCGTTTCTCTTTCATGACTGGGGGGGAGATTCCAGGAAGAGTTGTGTCTGGGGCCCAAGGTTTTGCAGGGGCCCTGGGGACCTCGATTAACTTTGAACACACTACAGGCGAGACTCCAGACAAGTCTTCTGCCCCTAGCAGCCCCTCAAAGCCAAAGCAGGACCGGCGGCCTGGGGTGGAGGTGGAGGCAGAGCCAAGGGTCTCTAGCCGGCTGTAGGATCGCCTGACTTTCTTAGACATTTCCAAGTCTCTAGCATCTGGGTCTCCTTCCTTGGAGCTGGACTTGATGTTCAGGTTGTGCACAGGAGTGGTGGCTGGGGTGACAGGGATACTACATGTCTTGAAAAGGTCCTCTTTAGTAAGCTCCTTCCTAGGAGGGTTGTTTTCTTTCTCTAAGAAAAAACGAATCTGCACCAGGACAGAAGAAAGAACGCCTCGCTGTTACTTAGTTGGACTACTTACTTCCAGAAAGGCCCAAGAAGATTTAGGGTGGAAAAAAGGACCCACGAGACACTTTTAAAAACGAAAGAGACAAATCAGACCCTGAAACAGGTGTGGGGAGGAGAAGAAAACAATCTGTCATTGCTTCTGAGGAGTCTGCTTTTGTAATGCGAGACTTGCTACCATCTGCTGGTACTGCTGGCTGTTTCCCAAACGTGCCTGGTATTCAGCCCCTTCTGTAACTGACGCAAGCCCCTACCTGTGTGTCCTCTAGACCAGCTCAACAACCTAACTGCTCTCCGTGCTTCCACCCCTTCCCTCTACATCCACGTGACACACGGCTGATAACTGTTCTAAAATGTCCATAAGGATTTATTGGTCACCTGTCTTGTGCCAGTCACTGTTCTGGGAGTACAGCACAGAATAAAACAGGGAAAACGCCTGCTGCCATGGAGCTTCCATTCTAGTGGGGGAAAACAGACCATAAGGAAACTATGTAAAATGGGAGAGGTATTAAGTGCTACAGGAAAAACTGAATAGGATAGCGTACTGGGAGTGGGTGGGAATTTTACGTAGCTGAAGGTCAATCAGTATAGAACTCACTGAGAAGGTGACATTTGAGGTACAACTTGGAGGAAGTGTGTCACGTGGACAGCTGGAGGAAAAGTGTTCTAGACAGTGGAAACAGAAGGTACAAAAGCCCTGAGGCAAAAGTGTGCCAGGCAGGGTCAAGGAACAAGAGGCCAGTGTGGCTGAAGTGTGAAGTGAAGGAACTGAAGAGGAGGTTTGAGAAGTGACGGGGGTTGAGGGTTGGTGTTACAGGGTGCTCTGTAGGCCACTGTAAGAGTGTGTTGCTCTGAAAAACCAAGGGGGACCGGCCCATGGCTCACTCGGGAGAGTGTGGTGCTGATAACACCAAGGCCACGGGTTCGGATCCTATATAGGGATGGCTGGGTAGCTCACTGGCTGAGCGTGGTGCTGACAACACCAAACCAAGGGTTAAGATCCCCCTACTGGTCATCTTTAAAAAAAGAGGCCACAGTAAAATTGTGAACAGAAAAGGCTTAATTTGACACATGCATTTAGAGGTTCATGCGTTGGCTCCTCATAATTCCACTCTCAGATGAAATGCTGCTTCCTCCGGGAGGCTGTCCCTTACCATGGAATCCAGACCAGCCCTTCCTCACCTCTGCTAGTTATTCTGTCACCATGACCTCTCTTATTTCTTGTATGTCACTATCTGATTTTGGCTTATTCAGCAGTTGACTCTGTCACCCATCTAGAATGTGAGCTTCATGACAGCAGGGGTCTTCATCAGCCTGGCTGACCCCACCTATGCCCAGCTCCTATAGCAGAGCCCTGCATGTCACAGGTGTTCGATAAGTACTCACTAAATTAGTGTACCTGAGACTTGACACTGAGCTTTCTGGCCGCCAGGACAAGGGAGGGAACAGGACAAATTCAAGGATTTTTGTGGTCTAATACAAGGTTATTAAGGGAAGCATTTCCTGGCTACAAGCTCTGGAGAATCTGTCCCACAGGTCTTAGTAAAAGGGATGCTGAACAGAATGGGGGTTACCCATGATGACTGCTTCCTCATATCCTACAGCCAAGCAGCCACCCAGGTTCTGGAAGCTTAGTCCTGATCAATGTCTCATGAATTTACCAACCAACAAGAATGAGTGGCTACTGATGAGAAGCAGAAGTCCCTGCGCTCAAGGCACTTTTATTCTTAGAGGGGAGAGAAAGACATCAAACATACAAGCAAACATACTATCAGATACTGATAAGGCCTAAGGAGAATTACAAAGAAATGTGACAGTGATTGGGTAAGAGTGGTCAGGGAAGGCCTGAAAAGGTTCCCTTTGAGCCCCGTTCTGTAATGGGACAGTCATGTGGAGGGGGTAGGGAATCACCTTGTCATTCCCTTGGTTTAGGCCCTCACCATCTCGCTTCAGGACTCCTAGACTTCAAGTCCTCCCATCTGGTGTTGGGGCCCCAGGACAGCCTTTTTTCAACCCATTTTCCACACAGTCTTCAGAGAGATCTTTCTAAAACCTTTAAGTTGGACTCAGTCACTCAGAGTTGCTTAAAACTCTCCAAATGTTGTCTACAGACCAAAAGATGAAGGCCAAGATCCTGAGCATTGCTTTTGTGCCTCATCAGAATCTGCCTTGGCTTAGCGTGCTCCCTCCCCTGACAAAGTCAACTGCAGACACACTAAACAAGCTGCTGATCCCCAAACCTCATGATTTTTCTTTGGACCTCAGATCTCTGCAAACATGGCTTGCCTAGAATACCCCTATTTATCTTTAAAGACGCAGTTTAAATGTTTCTTCTCTTTTTTTTTTTTTTCCTTTTTTTTGTCTTTTTTCGTGACCGGCAATGGATCGCAACCCTCAGTGTTGCGCCCGTACCGGACCGGGACCGGCAACGGGATCGCAACCCTTGGTGTTGCTCCCGCACCCTGCTTAGCCAGTGAGCGGCCAGTCTGTATGTGGGATCCGAACCCTCGGCGGGAGCGCCACCACACTCCCAAGTGGCACACTGTAGCAGTGCGCCATCGGGCCGGCCCTAAATGTTTCTTCTTGAGCATCATGTATTGCACACAGGTATTGGTATTCAACGCTGTCCTCCACAGATATGTTTCAATTTTAAAAAAAGGAACATCACATACACAAATTTCTTCTGTGAAACATTCCCTGAACCATGTGGTCTGGGTTAGGTACTATCATAGCATCTAGTATTTCCTTAGTGCAGCCCTCAGCACACTATGTTGTAATCACTTGGTCATCTGTCTTTCTCCCTATTTGACTGTAAGCCCCATGACCTCCTCAAAGGCAGTTAGCATTTCTCATTCATTGTATCTTCAAGTTTTCTACTAATAAAACATCCTTGATAATAAAATCTGCTAAAACTGTAAAAACATCATACACGGAACTTATCTTACAATAACTATAAATAAAAACCAAGGACAAAATAGATTAGAAAGAAGACAGAGTAGGTAGGGCACAGCTCAACTTTTAAAGGAAGCGCTAAGAAAAATGGTAGAAATATACAGGGCGCAAAGAGCTAAATGTATTAAGTCTGCCGGGAGAAATCAAGACTGGCAATGCATGCCGGTGTCCAAAGGCAAACATTCAGAATACTGCAAAACACCTCCGCGGGCTGATGTGAGCAGCCGGTATGCCCTGCCCCAACCCTCTAGCGTGACCTGGATTCCACTCAACTACGCAGATGAAAAAGAACTCACCCTGGGGCTCCTGCGAGGCGAGCGGACAGCTGGGATCTGTGGGGACAATACCGATTGATCACACAGCCAGCCCCCGGTTTTGAACCCCCACCAACAACCCCCTTCTTAGCCCTCACCTCTGCAGCATGGGCCACGATCTTCTTCAAGACAATAGGCTTTCTGACTGGAGGATTCGCGTGGGGTGGCTGGAGAAGAGGGGTGAACGTGAGCTCTACATTACTCCAGGGGCCTCTAGAAAAGGGACCGAGAAACCCGGGGCTCACCTGAGGCCAGATTTGAGGAAGGATCCTCGGGAGATCAGAGCCTGATTTCCTATGGGACCTCCGCAGAGACTCAGTAGGGGATGGGGTTCTGGGCCCTGGAAAGAGAAAAAAGATAGGAGAGGTAGACTTTAGAGAATGGGTTCTGGAGAGAGCGAGAGATTTCCTAACAAGCCCGTTGGGGGCGCCTTCCCAGGGAGAAGAGCCTCCAGCGGCGATGGCGGGGGAGGGCCTTCGCGGGCTGCTTCCCCCAAGAGGCTCGGCCCCCTCTCTCCCGCGCGCGCTCCGCTCACCAGAGCGCTGAGCGGTCCCGTCGGACCGCGTTCGCCTCCCAGACATATCTAGTCTCGGTCTCGACCTACTCCGCCGCCGCCGCCCCGGACTCGCGCCAACCGGGAGGGGCGTCTGCAGCAGGAACCTTTCGAATTACCCGCCCTGCTAGGGAGGAAGCGGAAGTGACGAAGATAGGCGGGCCACTACGCTCGGATTTCCCCCCTTCCTCCCCCTCCTTTCCGTCCAGCAGAGGCGTGGCCCGGTGGCGTGGTGGCGTCATCAGCGAGCGCCGCACCCGGAAGAGACGTGGCAGCGGAGGGATAATTGGAGCGGCCGGCGCTGGAGAGAGCCGAGCGGGAAGTCTCCGTGAGCGCAGTTTCTGTCCTTCCGCGCCTCGAACCACCGCTCGCGCTAGTCGGGACCGGTGCCGCGGCGGATCAGTAACACGGAGAGTGGGGTCTGTAGAGAAGGGGCGGGGCTTGGAGGGGGTGGGGCTCAGGAGGAGCCCTGGAGGCGGGGCCGGTGGCATCTGGGAGCCGCTGGTGGAGGATCTTGGCGGGGGGAAGGATCCGGGAGGAATGAGGGGTCGCCAGAGGCTAGATCTGTGCGTGGGGCGTGGCCCGGTATGAGGAGGGACGGTGGGCTGGAATTTGTGGTTGGGGTGAATATGAGAGGTGTCTGGGAGAGTTGAGTGGACACGAACTGGGCTGGTGAGAGCGTAGTGGCAGTCACCAGAACCTGGCTTCCTACTAAGTCAGGCCCCTTACCCAGGGTAGACCATGGGGCTTTGCAAGTGCCCCAAGAGGAAGGTGACCAACTTGTTCTGCTTCGAACACCGAGTCAACGTCTGCGAGCACTGCCTGGTGGCCAATCACGCCAAGGTGGGGCCTTCAGGGGAGCGGCTGAGCAGGGCACTGGGTGGGCAGGCACTATTGGCTTCTTCCAAATTCACGAGGGCCCCTGCACTAGAATGTAAGAAGCTCTGTGAAGGGCAAGGACTTGGTTTGCTTTGTTTGCTGCTATAGCCCCAGTCCCTAAAATGAAGTTTGGCACACAAAATGTGCTTAATAAATGTTTATTGATTGAACAAATGAAAGGATGAGTCTCCTCCGTGACGAGAGAAAAAGGCAGTTGGGCCTTGGGGTGGTAGGCCCTGGATCCCCAGCTCCAGTTGTGACATCTCTCTTCCACTCCAGTGCATCGTCCAGTCCTACCTGCAGTGGCTCCAAGATAGTGACTACAACCCCAATTGCCGCCTGTGCAACATACCCCTGGCCAGCCGGGAAACCACTCGCCTCATCTGCTATGGTGAGGCCTGGGCACCTTGGGGGGATCAGGGCAGCCTCAGGGCCCACCTCGGTGACTGGTTTGCAGGCCCTCGTCAAAAAGCAGGACAGTGAGTACCCCAAGCTTAGGAAGCCAGAGCCCCAGATTCTAATCCTGTTAGGTTACTTACCTGCTATATAAACTCAAGGAAGTCATTTTTCTTTTCTAGGCCTAAGTGTCTTTCCTAAAAATTAAAGTTCCTAGTTCCTTCCCTGCCAATCTTGGAGGATTGAGTGAGAGCCAGTCAAACTTGTGGGTTTGGTTGTGGTTGTGAGCAGTAGCTAGCCAGACCAACATGGGGCTTTCAGATATCCAGAATCCATTACTGATTCCAAGACTAAACAGAGAGGAAGTGAGTTTCCCACGTTAACGTTAGCTAGAGGAAGTTAGCAGACACATGTGTCATGACTTTGACAAGTCTGGTGTAAGAGCCTTAGCCCCAGTTTTTGAAGGAGCTAATGCAAAAAGGCAGCTCTGTGTATGTGTTTCTCAATGTGAGTGTGTTGTGTATACTTGCATGAATTTAGTGCACATCGTGTCTTTATCTGAGTACTAGTGTGTTCCTTAGTATTTGTGGGTGAGTGAATGGGTAAATGTATGTATGTGAACATAAGAACATAGGTATGTTGTGGGGATGCAGGAGAACATATGGCTGAAGGTGCTTGAGTGATAGCAAACATGTGAGTGTATAGTTGTGTATGTGTAAGGGCTAGCGTACCCGTAAGTGTAGATATAGGGAATGGCACTCATGTCTGATTATGTGGGGATAAGCACATGTATGTGCGTTTGTTCCCATGGATGTATGGATGTGTACAGGCATACATGCATACACCTGTGTGCCTGTGTGTATATCTAGGAACCTTTTCTGCAGCTGTTCTTTATTAGTTGTTAGTCTAAGAAGTGTGATGAGTGCAGGCCCCGAGAGAACTCACTGAAAGGGTGGGTGGCATTTTTTCCCACCCCTCCCCCCTGCTGTGGGCTGAGCAGCTTGGTAGTATCTGCCTTGACTTAGTCAGGTGGTGGTAGCCAAGAAGGCTGAAATCTTTTTTTTTTTTTTTTAAAGATGACCAGTAAAGGGATCTTAACCCTTGACTTTGTGTGGTCAGGACCACGCTCACCCAGTGAGCTAACCGGCCATCCCTATATGGGATCCGAACCCGTGGCCTTGGTGTTATGAGCACCACACTCTCCCGAGCCATGGGCCAGCCCAAGAAGGCTGCAATCTTAGAGAACAGTGATTAGATAGACCTGGGGTGAGAAGGTGAAGGAGGCACCTCTGGGCATACACGTAGGTGTCCATACATCCCTGCAACAGGCTGGGGCTGTTGCTGGACTGGGAGTCCTAAGTGTCTTCTTCATATCTCTCCTCTCCTATTTCATGGGCCCTAAGATCTCTTTCACTGGGCCTGCCTCAATGAACGTGCCACCCAGCTACCCCAAAACACAGCACCTGCCGGTTACCAGTGCCCCAGCTGCAATGGCCCCATCTTTCCCCCAACCAACCTGGCTGGCCCCGTGGCCTCTGCATTGAGAGAGAAGCTGGCCACAGTCAACTGGGCCCGGGCAGGACTGGGCCTCCCTCTGGTAAGAGTCCCTCTGTCTGACGATCCGTCTCTCCTGAGCCCTACCTGAGCCAGGTGGGTGGGTGGGGGCAGCACTGGGCAGGCTGGTGACCTAGGTTCTTTCTTCCAGATTGATGAGGTAGTGAGCCCGGAGCCTGAACCCCTCAACACCTCCGACTTCTCTGACTGGTCCAGCTTTAATGGTAAATGATAGTCTCCGCCTGCTTTGGGCTCCAGCCTTCCCACTCTGCTGACAGCTCTCTTCCTGCCCACAGCCAGCGGTACCTCCAGACAAGAGGAAATGGACAGCGCCTCTGCTGCCCCAGCCTTCTGCAGCCAGGCCCCCCGGCCCCCTGCATCCCCAAGCCAGCCCGAGCAGCACACAGTGATCCACATGGGCAGTCCTGAGCCCTTGGCTCACGGTGAGCTAGGGAACTGTCCAGGCCAAAGAACGACAGAAGGGGGTTGGGGAGGTTTTTGTGGAGGGAGCTCAAGAATCCACACACCCACCCAGAGAGACCATTCCTCACTTCAAGCACAGATGTTACCTTCCCACCATTCTGAGATGCTCTGTCAGACTGGGGAGGGCTGGAACGCTTTGCCTCTGCAAAAAGGGGCCAGTTTCCCTGAGCCTGTTGATGCTAGTGGCTCCACTTCCGCAGCCCCAAGGAAGGTATATGACACACGGGATGATGTCCGGGCACCAGTCCTTCACAGGGATTGCGACGATGACAAGTACCGTCGCCGGCCCGCCCTGGGCTGGCTGGCCCAGCTGCTAAGGTACATGGGGCCCTGCAGGAGAGGATGCCAGGAAGGGGAGGAGAGGAAGTAAGAGACCCCTGGGTGGGATGATTTCATGACAGTAGGGACTTATTCTGGGCAATAGCAGGGTCTGGAGCTGGGGCTGTGCAGGGAGGCCTCAGCTGGGCAGTAGAAGCTTTGTGTGGCCTCTGTGAGGCTGTCGCCTTGCCTCCTACACAGGAAGTTTGGACTCAGGCTCTTCGAGGCCCCTTCCTGCTCTGTCACCATGTCCTCTATTTTTGTAACTCTCCCTCATGCCTCGCACATTCTAGTTTTCAGAGCACAGTCATGTGCCTCAGCTGGTTTGAGCTATACAATAACCCCATATGGTGGCAGGTGCAGGGGTGCTCATCCCCATGGTACAGATGAGGAAGCTAAGCTCAGGGACAGTGACCAGGGCTCCTCTGCAGGGCATGCGGGCCGCCAGGGGCTGTGGGCTTGACATGACTTTCCCCTTGGCCCCCCAGGAGCCGGGCTGGATCTCGTAAACAGCCACTGACCCTGCTCCAACGGGCGGGGCTGCTGCTACTGTTGGGGCTGCTGGGCTTCCTGGCCCTCCTGGTCCTCATGTCTCGCCTGGGCCGGGCTGCAGCTGACAGCGATCCCAACCTGGACCCACTCATGAACCCTCACATCCGTGTGGGTCCCTCCTGAGCCCTAGCTTGAGGCTGGGCCAGCCTAGGACCTGGGATCCTGAAGAGGGGAGGCCGGGAGGCCTGGGGGCTCTTCGTCTCCGCTCCCTTCCCTCATGCCTGAGACACTAAGATCCCAGGCCCAGAGCCGAGTCCACCAGAGTGGCTGCAGGCTGGGCCTGGAGTCCCTGTGGGTCAAGCATTTGTCCTGATCTGCTTCTCCCTAGATCTCCAGTCTCCCACCCTTTGCCCCACAAAGGAGCTGGCAGGTGGAAATAAATAACACACTTTATTAAAACACCCGGAGCAGCCTTTTCCTTCTTCTTATTCAGCCCTGTCCCCACTCCCCAGGCCTCAGTGGTTCTCTTCCCGGTACTGGATGGCCAGAAACTCCAGGGACAGGCGGTTGAAGAACATGGCTCCATTGAGCACTGGACAGAGAGAGCCCCCATCAGCCCCAGTACCCTTCCCTGCCCCCTTCTTGCCACTTTTCAGGGTTCCACAGCACCCCCACCCCTCCCCTTAGCATTCTCCTGCCACTTACTTAAGGTGGTCAGGGCAAAGCAGCGGTGAAACTTGTCATCTGTCATCTCAGCATAGAGTGACCCCATGGCAGCCCAGCAGATGCTGATCACCTGGGAGAACTGTAGGCCCATCCAGTGGGAGAGTGGCCCCCTCCCTCGCACAACAGTGGGGTTTCTGTCAGCCCTTTAGGCTTCCCCCAGCCAGTCCTTGAGTCCCTGCCCCGAGCCTACCATCAGGACAACTGTGAAGCGGAAGC